GTTGTCCCATTTTTCTTGTCTCTTAGTAAATCAAAAAACAGAACCACAAGGAGAAGATTTTTACTGTTTTTTTTTCTTTTTTCAATGTCAGAAGAAATAAATACTGAAAAAAAAAATCACTTCTTTGATACACCACACCTTCTGCAGTTAGAAGGAAATTAATATAACTGGGAGATTTAGAAAAATATGAGGAATGTGACCATTAGAGTTACCTGTCATTCTACCTACTACCTACCATTCCCTACCTTCTGTTTTGAATTGATTTAGCTTAACCACCTACATTTCTTTGTCATCCTGCACCTAGCCTAGTGAGGTCTTTCCCATGATGTATTTATTGCTCCTAATTGTATTTTATCTTACTGGCACTTTCTGAAAAAAATAACAATAATAAGCAGATCTTTTCTAACATTTATTTCAGGCAGCTCCAGGGTAGTTTACTTTTTATTTCCTCTTCTCCTTTACCTGTTTGGTGCCCAGAGTTCTTCACATATTTCTGCCCCTAGGCAGGTATCTTTGGTTGCTAGCACTGCATCCCCAAAAGGAACAGTTTCCTGAGAAAAAACAAGAACATTCTTACACATATGAAGTAGAACAAGCTATTCAATTCAAAAACTTAACTGATCTTAAGAAAATATAAAAATTGAAGGATCACTTATGTGAAATTAGTGACATAATATAAATCACATTATACTTTCTTTCATTTTATACCAAGTCTGAGTAAAAAAAAAATTTTAAAATTCTGAAATGCAAATTTCTGGACTGATTGAAATTTTGTGTTTTAATTTCAGTAATATTCATATCCAGTGCTTTGCTTAAGGACAGGAATTAAACAATCTACAAAACAGAATCTGTCTGTTGCTAGAAAGCACACTCCTGCTTTGTGGGAAATAACATAAATTTTAGATCCTTCTGAATTAACAAGGTTTAAATGATTTTTTAATTTAATTTTTTTAACCTAAAAACACATACTCAATTCTAGTATCAAGCACAGATAAACTCAGTACCAAAATTATGCAAAATATGGCAATGTTCTGTATATACAAATAACTGAGGCAGATTTAAAATTTACTTGCTTTACTTCTGCATACTAACATAAATAAGGTTAAATTATGCTTTCACTTAATGTAACTTAGAACCACCACTGAAACATATGAATCTACAATATGACTGGCAGAAAAATTTTGGGGGCTACAGTTTTTAATTGCTGAATCTGGAACATGCTAAATTAAAAAAAAACAAAACAAAAAACCCAACTTACCTGTCCAGTCACTTCCTGAATTATCTTGGGTAGAAAATACTCCTCTACATGCCTAAATCAAGTAGATTGTTAATACATCATTACATAAATCACAGCATAAGAACTGGTTCTCATCTCACCTTCTAACATTGGTTAAAGAAACCATATTGAAGTTGTACAGAGCTGTGTGTGTTTAAAAAGATGAAAAAATACCTTCATATCCTCAGTGGAATTAATCATAAATGCTAACACTTTAACATAGCATCATCTGTGCTTCAGAAAGGCATGGTAACCAATGCCCCATCCTGGCTAGAAAACAAACCTAACAAAGAACACACCATGCAAGTCAAATGCGAGATGGAAGTTTCTCTTTTTGCAGGGTTACTACACGAGCAAGGCAGAACCAGTTGGGGCTCAGAGGAGGGACGAGAAGTGCTTTGCTGGGACAGTCAAGTTAGAAACATTCCCTGACTACAAGATCAGTGCACAGCATCAGAGATGTGTGCTAGGCATGTTCTGCAGCATCAGAAGGTAGGCAGCTTTTATTCTCTGCAGTTGAAGTTCTGACAGAGCTCAACCATTTCAACATTTGCCAGTTCAGTAGTGGGATGCAGCAATTCAGGAGATACACAGCCTCTTCCAGTCCTGAGCTGTGTGTTCTTAGAAAGCACATACCAGGAAAATTACACTTTACACTGGCTGTAGGATCAAGCAGCCCCACATTTTCTTCCAGTTCAGCAACTCAGAGTTTGACTACTCAATAAGCTTCCTAACCAAGCTGCAACCACATAGCTTGGCTGACTCTGTGTTGCTGTTCTCCCTGTAGCAGTTAGTGATGATCTGCTGTAGATATTTCAGCCCTGTTGCTGTGGCTGCAAACAGCAAGCTGTGTTTTTTAACACAATTCTAACAGCTGCCAGCATACCTTGCTTTGCTCCATGGGGTGAACCATCTAAGTTCCCTGTAGTTTCCTGTATTTGCCAGTGACATTTTTGGTCTGATCAGAAGAATCCTCCTTAAATCATAAAACAAAACAGAAAAGCTGAGTTAACATACGATGTACAGCCAAACAAGACTACATATGAACACTGATTAAGATCACTATATATGAACACTGATTAAGATCAATTCCTTTTCTTCTTTTTTAATGTAACATTTTTAAGGTTTCTGTTTGCAGACTCAAGGTGTTTTACTGAGCTCTTTCAGAAAGCAGTGGGAATTTAGTTTCCATAAATCAGAAAAAGAAAAAATAGATAATGAAAAACCTTAGTTGTCTCTCTCAAAATTTAGCAAACAAGAAGATAAATCCCTCACTCTACATAGCACTGAAGAATCTTGCTTGAAGGCCAAACTGGTGTCTGAAAAGATGTGTTACCTCACAAAACACATCAAGAACTACTTACTTATTTAAAAAGATCACTCGACAATTGTAGCGAACATTTCTGTGCAGAACAGGCCTGTGAAAATAAGAAGCAAAATTAGCAGTGACTACACTCACTAAGTGAAATAATAAAAAGCTACAGAATCTACTTTACTGCATAAAAACTATTCATAAGACCTCACTAGAGAGAATCAAACAAAACAATATATCAAGTTTTAGCTTCTAATTTTTTTAATTAAAGTAGTTGTTTGAAAAAATCAGAGTTAATGACCGTGCTGTCAATTTCAGATATATCAACTGCTACCTGAGCCTTAGGAACATGCACAGACCAGAAGATTCCCCATGGCTGGGTATGGTTATTTAATCAAATGTGACCTCCTGTGATACTGCCAATCCAGTTCAAAATCAAACCAGCTTTACACATTTATATCAATACTGCTGCATTCCACAAGTGCAACAGCAGGGTCTTGTCCAGGGATATTACAGCCACCAGTGACCAACATGAGACTCAACAAGACGGGTCTCTGGTTAAGCTCAGGAAACCATTTATTCAACAGAGGAACAAACTCAGTTTAAATCCAGAGACAGAGAGCCCAGAACAGAGGCAGGGTGGGGGTTTTATGGGGCAGAGCCAGGGTGGCGTTTAAGGCCAGGGTCTAATAGGAACAGAACAAGGGAGAAACCCCAGGGGCTCAAACCCAATCACAACACCTGGGCTGCCACCACCCGAGGGGTCCGGGGTGGGGAACTCTTCCTGGGCTCACAGGGCCCATTCCCGAGGCAGAGGGTGGAATTTATTTTTCCCAGGCTTTAGAGCCATGCCTCTCACTTTAACAATGCTTATCTAAAACTAAATCTTTGCTTCTCTGGGGGGAGGGGGGGGGGCACCCCACACAATACTAACATGTAAATTTTACAGATATAATTTATCACTCTTCCATGTCAGCACAAGGCTTACAATGGCTTCAACGATTTTCACATACATTTACATTGCTTTAAGATATCTGTCAGTGAAAGCAGCCCCCACATTCCTACAAGACAGTCAATTTATAAACCCCTTTGAGTTACACCTCACAGAAAGTCTGACCCATGGCAATAAGAACCAGACATTAAGGTTTTCAATATATAACTGTAATTCCAATTTCTCTCTTGAAGGGCTCAGCCACCAGCAATCTCTGGAAGGATTATCTTCCAGAAAGTGTTCTCCAAGTTGCAGACCTGGTCATGGTAATCAAAAGGGTAAAAGTAGTGCAGTTCCTAAGATATGTTTGAAAGTTTGGTGCAGAGCCCTCACTATCCAGAGCATGGCACAAGCAGCATTCCCTTAGGACTTACCCATTTATTACAGGTACAATAAAAAAAACCCTTACATTCCCACATCACAGATAATATCTTGAGTTGCTGGAGACTCCAAGAGCTTTTCAAGAACTTGAAACGAATGCAAGAGTGTGTCTGACTCATAATAATGATCTGAGCAGCCATAACCACTGTGTATAGAAACAAGGAGACATCAAAAATTCAGACAGATCAGCACCAGAGCCAAATAATCAAGACTACTTCAGACAGGGAACATTTCACTCACATAGAAAATTTATACAGAAAATGTAAAAGCAGTGCTGTCAACACCATCCCTACTTACAGAATTTAAAACTCTGTGGTGTTTTGTATCACCCAATGATATTCCTTCCAAGGACAGCAGCCTGGACCCAGGCAGAAATCAATGCACTACATTTCCCCTGAAGGAAAACTCACTGAAATAGGTAAAAAATTTTCACTACAAGCTAGGTTTCCAAGACAAGAGACCCAATCCTGTGCCCACAACTACAGTGTTTTTCTTTGCACCAACAGCCGCATGCTTAAGTACGGCTTTGGGCACTGCAGCACCACGGAGCTGATGCTCTTCCGGACTGTTCTTCCACAGTTAACTGGAATCACACCAAATCCAGCTCCAGCAAAGAGCCCTTACCAGATTTCGAGCTCTGGCCCAAGCCGGTACCGGGCTCCTTTGCTCTTGGCGATGTCGATACCTGGAAGAGTGTTGGGAGCGCAGTGCGTGAAACAGGCGCGGGCTGCGCTGCCCCGCCCGCGGGAGGAGGAAAGGAGGGAGCGGCAGAGGGTTCCTGATGGCCGGGGGCAGCCAGCCATCTCGGCACTCACTTCTGAATATCCTTTCCAGGTTGCCCTCAAAGTCCAGAGCCCACTGGTTGAGGGCGCAGGTGGCCACGGTCACTGCCCGGCCCATGGCGACCCTGCCGCCTTCCCCACTGTTTCCGGGACGGCACCGGGCCGGGGCTGCCGGTCCCTCCTCCCGGTCCCTCCTCCCGGCCCCTCCTCCCGGTCCCTCCTCCCGGCCCCTCCTCCCGGCCCCTCCTCCTNGCCGGGGCGGCCGCGGGGAGCGGGCTCCGGTGCGGGAGTGATCCTCTGTCAGTGAACCCCGGCGAGGGAGTGGACCCGACCCCCTAGTTGGGTGCGTTCCTACCTTATCGAGTCTGGGATCGGGCCTGGAAGGGACCCAGCCGAGTAGGCAAAGCGGAGCGACGAGCCGCCTTCCCCGCAGTTCGCTTCTGAAAAGAAGCCTACGGGTGAGGACTAAAGGAAATGGCCTTAAGGCGAGGTAGTGGAGATCCGGATTAGAGGCGAGAATTTATTTTTGTTTCACTGTTGCGGTGGTCAGGCGTTAGAACAGGTTGCCCAGGGACGTGGTGGATGCAGAGGGTACGGCCAGGCTCAGTCAGTGTCCAGGAAATGGATCAAGTTCGCGCTGATGAGGCATGTCGAGCTGGGATGTCGGTCCATCGTTCAGATTATAGCATGATGGTTTTTACCGTAAGAAGTGTTTGATCAGACCGAATGAAAGCTACAGAGCATGTGCCACTGAGAGAATTAGGTGTTACTGAGTAAATCATTCTCCATTCCCACTGATTTTTGATTTAGGTAGGACTATATCTTGTTTTCTGTGGTGTAAATGACATGTATGGAGCAAGGGCTCTGGGCAAAAGTATCCGATTGATAAGGTCCGGTGCCAATGATGTTACAGCAGTACAAATTTCTCAAATTAAAAAAGCAGTTTAGTTGCAGAGGTTTATGAGAATATGGTGAAACTTTTGTTTTTCCTTTTACATCTACATGTAAGTAATAAGCTACATATTATCTATGCATCTTAAAAGAAATATCCAGTTAGCAAGAAGTTTAAAGGATTACTTTAATATCAGTGTTTTGATTATGTTTTGCTGAATGTGACTTCGTAGAGAATTACTTGGTGAAAATTTTTTCCTTCCTTTCTTCCACCCTCAAATTTCACATGGCCTGAAGTCTACATGATAGATTTTATTAACTTTTATTTGTGATTCTCTTGTAGAGGTATAAGACTCATTGAGAACCAGGTGGAGTAATAGGATTCATATTTTCTTTCCTACAGGACCACATGGCAGCCCATCAGGAGAAAAAACTTGCTGAAGAAAGAAAACACCAAAACATGCAAAATGATACTAAAACATCTCAAGGCCAGTGGGGAAGAGCTTGGTGAGAGAAGCCAATGACCCTAAGTAGTCCTTGTATTTCCAATTGCTTCATTCTTAGAGATGCTGTATTCCTTTTAAACTTCCCTCTGTTAATAACATTTTTGTGTTGCCCTGCACTGAAAAGCTCATAGGTAATTTGCTGTAGCAACAGGTGTTGAAGGAGAGTTCATGTTCTTCAAGGCACAGTTTGCCAGATGGTTTAGGTTAAAACACACTCCTTCTGAAAAAGAAAAGCAAATAATAAAAAACTGGTAAAATTTCTGGTTCCTTAAAGGAAAGAAATATTTCCCAAGATTTGGAAAACAAGCATCCTGGCATCTGTGGCATTCCCAGGTGACAAGTCCTGCTGTAGCAAGATTTATGACTCATGTCCCAGTTCTCAAAGAATTGGGCAAGTATTAGTAGGGCATTGTGCTGCAGCTGGGAACAAGCAACAGTGGCACAGCAAGTTCAATGTATGGCTGTCCAAGGTCTGTCTTTTCCAAGTTTCCAAGCTTTGCATAATGTTCTTGGGATTCCATTATCACTTCCAACAGAATACTCCACCAGTTAGAGCCATGATTGCTGTCAAAAAATGTGAAGTTTGTAATAATAATCAGCTTTTTGGGGGGAGATTTTATCTAATCTCTTGCTCTGATCACTTGTCGTTTAGACAGCATTGTTTTAGAGCAGTTTGTGTCGAAGTATGTTCTGTGCTGAGCTTTTTATGGCTGTTTGACCCCCAGACATGTCTGTGCCCTGAAAACATTTTCATTTTCATCCAGTTAAGTCTAGAAGGTCCACTGAAAAAATTGTCTGATGTAACTCATCTATCTGAAACCCGGAGAAACAAAATGCTCTGTTTTGGATTACAGGGAGGTGGACTGGTTTTCCTTGGCAAGCATCCTTTTCCTGCTCGTGTTTGCACCACTGATAGTGTATTACTTCATCATGTCCTGTGCCCAGTACCAGTGCTCTCTGACTGATCCACTCCTGGACTTGCTGAAGGGGGATAAGCATCTGTCTGACATCTGGAACAGGACTCCCAGGCTGACCTATAGGGCTGCTGGCATTTATTCCCTTTGGGTTGCTTTCCAGGTACATTATTGAGATATGATCTGGATGCAGTGTCTGTTTTTTCACAGATATTGGATGATTCTTTTTGCACAAAGGATGGTGGAATGTTGCAGTGGCATTTATTCTTTGGTGTTTCACAATTTCCAAGCTGTTTTGGAATCCAAATGAAGCTTATATACTTGGAGAATCAGTATGTAGGGAATATACACAAATATTCTTTGTGTGACATATTCCTTAATGAGGTTTTTAAGAAAAAGCAACTATATAACAACAGTAGGCGTTTGTTTTGAATTAATACACAAGAAATAGATAAAAATAAAAGATGAAGACTGGATGTAGTTACCAACTTTCCTGCCTCCCCACTAAAAAAGGATGGCAGCCTTACATGAAATACATCTTTAGAGGTGTATAATAGGTTAGATGTATTATTAGTCTAAAATCACAAAAGCTAAATTTTGCAATTTTGGCTTACCCAGTATTTAATAGAAACTTAATAGAAATGTGATACTTGGTATATGTATGTAAGGGATAGTGTTTTGAAGGGTTTTGTCCTGTATGTATTTACTGGGAATACATTCTCTCTCTTCTAGGTGGTTTTGTATGTGTCCATTCCTGATTTCTGCCATAAATTTCTCCCTGGCTATGTGGGAGGTGTACAAGAAGGTGCTGTCACCCCTGCAGGTAAAGTCTTCCTTGGAATACATGAACACCATGCAATCTTCTGAAATTATAGTATTTCTGTTCTTAGAGTCTTTAGTAACCATTGCTTAGCCAGAAGAAATGTGGACATAAATGCTTGCACCTTCCTCACATGTTCAGTTCAAACAAAACTAGAAAGCAATCTAAGTCATCTTTTAGAATAAGTTACAGCATTTCTATCTCTTATAATTAGTAAAACTGTTGATCTGGTAAGGCACCACATCATCAATAGAAAAGTACTGGTTGATAATTTTAGCACTTAAAATTGTCAGTGGACTATTGCTGGTATTTGACAAGATAGTTTTACCTGCTCAAGCTCCTTTAACCCAAGGGACTCGAACAAAATATGTGATGTGAACTATTAGAAAGAATATTGTGGTTGTTACTAACTTGTTACTATAGTTACTGGGCTTTGGGAGAGTCTAAATTCAGTTTTGTGAGGAGAACTCAGCCTAACAAAGCCTGATGGGAACAGTGGGGTCTGATGAAACATTCAGAGAAGTGCCTCAGGGTATTTAATTGTGAGGGTGAGAAGAGAGAAGTCATTTCATGAGCACTTGATGCAGCTTCTGTGTATTCTGTGCATACCCATATTAATTAAAAGCTGTATTAATGCAGGGTCACTAACACTCCATCTTTTCTCCATATTTTAGGTGTCGTGAATAAATATGAAATCAATGGACTTCAGGCCTGGATCATTACCCATGTACTTTGGTTTGCAAATGCTTCTTGCTTTCATTTCTTCTCACCTACCATCATTTTTGACAACTGGATTCCTCTCCTGTGGTGTGCCAATATCTTGGGATATACAGTGTCCACATTTGCAATGATTAAAGGCTACTTTTTCCCTACCAATGCCAAAGACTGGTATGTGGATTTTAGTAAAGAGAGAATACTAGGTATCAGAGATTAAAATTGTTAAATAAAATTTGAGTATATGAATTGAATGACAGAGTATATTTCACTGACACATGGATCTAGGCCAGTGTATGGCAGTGGTTCTTTGCTTCCTGAGCACCCTCCCCTGTGTTTCATGCTGTACGCCATAGGACTGGCAGCCTCAGTGTCACAGATACATCCATCCTAAAAATAGTTATACGTAGACTGTTCAGAAGTGTTACCAAGGGTAAACTGAGGCACTCCTGAAATTCTACAATTTATGTCTATTAATGTAATACTTTTGTCAGGTCAGTTTGTGTTACCTTGCACAATGTTACATCGTTTTATGATTTGTATTATCTCTATATTAAATTAATCTGAATTGTATAGTCAGAGTAGCAACTACCTGTATTTGTACATAACTGTACATTTCTGATTTTTCTTATGTTTTACAGCAAATTCACTGGAAACTTCTTTTATGACTACATGATGGGGATTGAATTTAACCCTCGAATAGGGAAGTGGTTTGATTTCAAGTTGTTCTTCAATGGGCGCCCTGGTATTGTGGCCTGGACTCTAATCAACCTTTCCTTTGCTGCCAAACAACAGGAGCTGTACGGTGAAGTAACAAACTCCATGATCCTTGTCAATGTCCTCCAGGTAAATTCCAAGGAAGAAATTAAGAAACCAGTTTGGAAATAAGCCAGTATGAAAGTAGGAAAAAATCTCCTTCCATGGAAATGAAATGCAGGCATTTTTTCCTGGCCTGAAACAAGCTCATTCAGTGATGGGACTTCCTTGGATTTATTTCCTGATCTGTGTAAATAGAAGCCTGCTCAATAGAAGCTCTGTCCCTTCTCTTTGTAACCCTAACTCTAAGCTGAAAAGATATCAGGGAGGAGAGTTGTGAGTTCACTTCCTAAGCGTTTGTCCTTGAGTTGTACACTTACTTTATTACACTTATCCTACTATTGCTTTATTGGTCTAGAGGGATGGATATTGTGTACCTAGGTAGGTTGTATTTATGTGATGGTTCTTCTTAACCGTGTTCAGAAACGTCTGGTTTTTAAGTGCTAATGTGAAAACACCAAGGAATTTTGAGATCACATCACAAGGCAGCACAGACATTAAGCTGATGCTGTTAAACAGGGCAACCGGTGACTCTGTTATTAATGTGAATTAATTCTGTTGCAGGGTATTTATGTTCTGGACTTCTTTTGGAATGAAGCCTGGTACTTGAAAACCATTGATATCTGTCATGATCATTTTGGATGGTATTTGGGCTGGGGAGACTGTGTTTGGTTGCCTTACCTCTATACTTTGCAGGTAAAAACGTGTACTTGTGTATTTGGGCTAACAGGAATGAAACTTTCCAGAAACATTATTTCTAGCAGTTTAATTTGTACTTTAAATGTTTCTATGTAGTTTGACTTTTGAGAAATCATTGCAACATTCTCTGTAACAATTCTCTTGTAGGAATGCTTCCTGTCCATGCATGGATTTGACAAATTTTCTTCTCTTGCCCTTCTTTTGTGCCTCATTCTGTCACTGTCAATTGTGTCTGCATACTTTTCTAAATCCTTTCAGTTTCTTTTTACTCCTGCTTGTTGAGGGTCTTTTGGATAGTGGTGTTCTATTTGGGTTTTGTTCCTTGGGTTTTGCCTTCTGTCCAGTTTACATCCTTGCAATTTCTCTCTAATTGTTTCACGAAGTGCAGTTTTGGAGAGAGAAAGAGAGAAGGAAACTCTAGCACGCAGGGTTTTCTGAAAGTTTTGTGCAGCTTTACTATTTTTCTACTCCTGTTCTGTTGTGGGTCACTGTAGTCAAGGAATGGACTAGGCAATTGACAAGGTATGCTGAGCCTCTGTTGGAAGTAAATGGCTGATTGTTTTTGTACTCCCCAGGGTCTGTATTTGGTTTACTATCCTGTCCAGCTGTGCACAGCTCACGCCGTAGGGGTCTTGATGTTGGGCTTGCTGGGTTATTATATCTTCAGAATGACCAATCACCAGAAGGACCTCTTCCGTCGCACCAATGGCAACTGCAGGATCTGGGGGAAGAAGCCTGAGTACATCGAGTGCTCCTACATGTCCGTGGATGGGACCAAGTACTACAGCAAGCTGATGACCTCTGGATTTTGGGGCTGGGCACGTCATTTCAACTACACAGGAGACCTGATGGGCTCGCTGGCCTATTGCCTTGCTTGTGGCTTTGAGCACATTCTGCCTTATTTCTATATTATTTACATGACCATTCTGCTCACCCACCGCTGCATTAGGGATGAGCACCGTTGTAGCAGCAAGTATGGGAAGGACTGGAAGCATTACACTGCTGCAGTGCCCTACCGGCTCCTGCCTGGAATATTTTAAGGCTAACACAGGATGCAGGGGAAATAAAAAAGAAGAAACATGCAGGCATGCCATGTTTAAAGTAACTGAAGTGAGGCACTGAACTGCCCCATTTTTTTAGAAGACTCTTAATTGGAATATCCCTCTGAATCTCCCCATTTCCTAATTAACTTAGAGCTTAAGAAAAGATGCATAAATTGAGACTCCTGAGAAATCCCAAAGCTGGGAAGTGGCCTTACCCTTGATCTGGAAGCAGTTTGCAGTGCTTCAGGAGAGAAGAAAAAGAGTTCTGTCATCTGTTTAGGAAAGAAGTTTTCTGATGCAGTTTCTTGTGACCATCAGAACCTACAACTGAGAACAACGGCAAAGGAGATTTGATTGTTGGTTGCTTGTCAAGAAATGAATGGTGGAAATACTGGACTGCAGAAGCTGGTCTGATATAACTGTAATGATCTAAAACAAAAGTGAAAACTGTTATAAATTAGTGCCATTTTCAGCACCTGACAACAAGGAACATGACCAACTGGGTTTTATTTTGATACTGAAACCAGACTTTGTGAAGCTACTGAGCTGAGCTAGTGCATCTGAGGTAGTTATTTTTTTCATAGTAGCTGGTATGGGCTTTGGATTTAAGCTTAATGCTATTGCTGAGCATTGTTTTCACAGCATCAAGGCCTTTTCTGCATCTCACCCCACCCACCAGGGACTGGGCTGGGTGAGCACAAGAAGTTGAGAGGGGATACTGCTTACCCCAATGGACCCAAGGAATATCCCAGGCCATATGGCATCATGCTCAGCATATAAAGCTGGAGGAAGAAGGGAGGGATGTCAGGAGTGATGGTATTTGTCATTCCAAGTCACCATTAACATGTGGTGGAGCCCTGCTTTCCTGGAGATGGCTGAACATCTGCCTGCAGTTGGCAGGTGAGGCATAGATTCCTTATTTTGCTTTGTTTGCTTGCATAGTTTTTCCTTTACCTAATAAAGTGTGTTTATCTCAACCCCTGAGTTTTATCCTTTTCCTGATTCCCTCCCCCATCCCACTGTGGGGGAGTGAGCAAGCAGCTGTGTGGGGCTGAGTTGCCAGCTGGGGTTAAACCATGACAGTCCTTTTTGGTGCCTGACATGGAGCTTGAAGGGTTTGAGCTAACAGCAGCTTTGGCTGGAATATGCTGGGTTGGATTTATAGCTGTTGGTGCTGTTGAGTTTTCAGGCTCCTGTGCTTGCCATGGAGCTCGTTAGGGGTTTAATTTTGATTTTGCTGCTGTCTGTAGTGCTTCTCCTCTTCCTGTGCTGGGGACACTTGGATGACAGCCCTGGTGACACACCTGGGTTGGCAGATGGCCAGGGCAGCGCTGCTGTTTCTGTGCTGCTGGAACTCCAGTGTGAGCTTGAGTCAAGGGAGCTGTGACCTGTGGATGATTACAGGGGGGAGCAGGACATCCCCAGGCATCAGTGGCTGGGAATAAACCCCCAGCAGAGAAGGAACCTCTCAGAGCATCTGTGGCCATGGTTATGTCTGTGCCCAAGAAGGGATTGTGGCCCCAGGATAAACCTGAAGCCGCTGTGGCTGTGGATAAGGCTGTGCTCAGCAGGTACTCCTTGAAACATCAGTGCCTGTGCATGGGGTCATGCTGGAGCACATCAGAGCCATGGCCATGGATAAACCCCTGGCAGAGCAGTTACAGCCTTGGAGGTACTGCAGCCATGGCTAAGGCCACGTCCACTTCTTTAGTGTGGATGGAAAACTTCATTCCCTATCACTTGTGTAAAATCAGTTTGTAAAAATTTAAGGTTATAAATTTTTAGTTTCAGGGCAAATAAAATACTGCTAATTTTCCTTCAGCTATTTATTTTCTTGTTAAATGGTTATCTTTCAGAGTGACTAAAGGATACAAAAGGAGCTCTTGAAAGAGCTTAATTTCAAGAGCTCCTTAGAATTCTATTTTCCAAGGTGAAACAAATAAAAAGAGGGATTATAGGATGAACAATGCAGTTTGTAACAAGCTTGGTAGTTATGTTAAAGCTAAAAGACTTTTTTTTTTTTTTTAATTATAGCACCTAAAATACTGCTAGTTTTTATAGTAGTAGAAAAGTGTGTGAACTGAAAAGTGTTTTGTAGAAGCAGCTGAATGCACTGATCTTCATAGCAGGTTTGGATGAGTTGTGTTGGTGGGTGTTTAGGTTTTGTTGCAGTTGTCCTGGAGGGGCTGGTCTGGGCAGGAGAAAAAGGCTCCCTGCAAACCTAGAAAACAAATGTTTCTTGTAGCTGGGCTTTATTTCAGAGCTGGATCTACAGACATCCTTTTCTTACGTAGTCTTGGAAATTGCACTGCTCCTTTGCTGTTAATGCCAAGGTTATTTAAATATTGCAAGATAATCTGGAGTCTTAAATCATGGTAGCCTTGCACAGCACAGTGTGGTCGCTTCTGTTCCCTGAGAAGTCTTGGATGTTTTGTGGAAGAAATTGCCCCTTCAAGACCAATAAAAAAAACCTTTTTAGTCTGTTTTGTAAGCTTCATGCTAACAAATACTGTGTAAGTAGTGCTCCAAGCAGTGTCCCACTAATGTCACCCTTGAAAACTGAAATGGGAAGGACTATCAACTTGCTCATCTTCATGCCTGGGTCACTTTGTTATATGCAGGGCAGTGCTGTTAAATTTGTTTCTTCTAGAATACTGAAAAAAAAAATTGGAGGCTTTTTGGGGGTGTATATTGGATTAACTTTTGTCATGATATTTCCTATTAATTGATAATCTGTGGTCATTATCACCTATGAAGTTTGAAGATCACCTATCAAATCTCTGTAGTATGCTGGGAATTTGAAATATAAAAGTGTCAATATTTGCAAAATGGTACTTATTTAACTTGTGCTAAATAAAACAATGGGAAAAAACAGCAAAATCTGGTAACTACTTGGAGCAGTTAACAAAGTAGTTCGGTTGGATTATTGTAGGAAGAAAAGTTACAAATGTTCACTTGAAGAGGGCACAAGATACATCCCAGTGTTATAGTGTATAACTTTTATGGATTGTCAGCGTTCAGTTTAGGGATGTAATGGAGTGGGGAGAGGGGAACTTGCAATACATCTGGGAAAGGAGGATGCCTTCACACATGGAAAACCTCTGCCACCTCTGGCATTTCTGAGATCAGGGCTCCACCTTTACAGCATAAGGGTGGTTGTAATGGAATGGGATTGCTCAGTTCCAGTTTTACTCTGACAGTGGGAATGACAACAGGAGAATGTGCTGTTGCCTTGTGGTAGCAGCCAAACTATTTTCTGCTTTTTTTTTTCCCCCTACTGTTTTTAGTCTAAGGTTCTGATCATGTATTAGCTTAGGGCTGCACTGCCTAAATATGTTCTCTTCAATAATGCAGAGTCTTCACTCAATGTTAAAAGTGATGTGCAGTTGAAGACAAAACAGTAATAGCATATTTTTTCTACTTTATTTCATACAGGATAAAAATGTCTAAATGTATGAGTCAAATCAGAAGCTTGCTTTATTTTTAGATGATGGGTACAGATTTACTTTATGGCTATTGCACAGGTAATGTGCAATAATTTATTTTTTTTTAAATTATGCTATCCAAACTTTTTGTAATGTATTTTCCCTTAAAAATGTAAAAAGTTTTTGCAGTCCAAGTTAATCTAAAATACTTGTTGTATCATCTTACCACAGTATAAATCAAAAAAACAAAAAATATCTAATAAGTATATGTTGCAATAACTACATCTCTATAAAGTAGTACAAAATGATTGGAGAATCATGACAAGAATAAATCATAGGAAATGTCTTCTGAGTAGAGAAAGTGAAGACAGGAAACAGATGAGTTCAGAACATAAAAATATAAAACAGAGAAAAAAATTGCCTATTTTTTTTTCAAAAATAAAAAATGGCAAATATGTGTGATTACATCTTGTAGCTGGAGGAAATTATAAATTATGTTGTATATTTTGAAATTCTAATCTACACAAAGTTGGTGTAAAATCAAGGTTATAAACTAATAAGTGTTGCAAGAATTATGAAGCAGTCACAATAAAGATTTTGAGAAAGAGCTTAACCAAACCTTTTGTCCACTGTAAAAGAGTTACAGCAGAGTTGATGTTTTCATAGCTGGCAGAGAGGAGTCAAGTAAGGAAACCTTTCTTGTTTAAGCAGGATACTGAAAAAATAAAGGCCAACAGTAAGGCACCCCCGGAAGCCAGAAGCACAGCAGCGATTGTCCTGGAGCCACCAGTTCCTAGTCCATGGCTCTCAGAATTATGTGGCAGTGCCACAGGACAAGACCCTTTGTGTGATGCTGGACAAGATGCTGCAGCAGCAAAGGCAGATCTTCCTATCTCCAGGGAATTGTCTGCCATCAGCAGTGGAGAAGAATGATGAGGGTGGATTCCAAACTTCAGATGTTCCTGGCAAGAGATTTCAACTGAGGGGAACAATTGATTTGTCTTTACAAACAAGCTGTGGGTCTGCTGGTAGATTAAACTAGCACTGAGAGATAAAAGAAACAAGGAGAAAGATCCACTGATTGATGAATGGAAAAAAGATATTTGCCTTTACAAACTAACTGTAGGCTTGCTGATAAATGAAATTGGATATTGAAAGATGAAAGAAACAATGAAGAAAAAACATAAATTCCATAAGAATTAAAAATCAAAAGGAAAGGTTATACATTAGAGGATAATCTTAAGTATCAGACATTCTGGGAAGTCTGTACCTCTCAAGTACCTTAGCCTATGGGTAAAGAGAAAGGGAAATGCAGCAGGGAAATTTGGATAAAAAGAAGGCTGTGGCCTCCAAAAATTTGAGAGACTCCAGGGTGCTGGGGTCTTCATTTCTTCATGCGGGAATAGGAACAACACAGTACCAATATGACGATCAAATAATTTGTTTATTTTCTAGGTTGGGTTACATTTATACTCTATATAAATCTATACACATAAAAATCTCCTCTACAATTGGCTGCATGTATTGTTCACACGCTTTTATAAGCATATTATTGGATAATTACATTTGTGTATATCAGACCACAATTTATTTAATTTTCTCTTTTTCTCATCCTGTTAGTTCTTACTTTATGTTCTTTTACTGACCATGACTTGTTCTTTCCGTGTCTGATAACCTTGTCCTTGTTCTTAACTGTTTCTCTTTATGTTCCAATTTTTTCTAATGCTGCCCGGACTCCTACACCCAGGGGAATGCCCCATGGCCTCTCCCTTTATTCGAATAAAGTAAAAGGACTCTTCTGTCTCCTTTTCAGACATAAACCTCTGGTGTTCGTGGATTAATTTTCCTGACAAACTGGGGGCTCTTGGGGATATTTCCACTGTCCAGGCCAGCGGGCAGTGAGCGGAGCTGAAGGCGCGCCTCACCCAGTTTCGGTGATCAGCTCCCCTTGGTGGCGGCCGGCACTGGGCGATCAATTGGGTTCCCGAGACTGTCCAGTGTCGCTAGAGGACACGAAGTAGGAAACAATGGGTTCAATATCACAGCAGCTGAGGTTTTATTTCTCAGGAGGTGAAAAGCCTTTATTTCACGGTTTTCAACCCTTTTATAAGGTGTTCCAATACAGGTTATTCTGATTGGTAGAAGGAACAACATCTCTCTCATTGGTGGGACAAAAGAAAAAAACTCTCAGAACATCTGTCTCATTGTTTTGAGAACTAAAATCTTATTTACATAACAGTCCTTGAGAGAGAAAAGTTTCCCAAAAGGCTTTCCCTTGGGAAACAGATCAGCCACTGATAGCTGAAACTCTCTCAGGTTCAGAAAATCATGTCCACAGTCCAGGAGACTGATGAGTGGTGGACCAGAGGGGTCTGTGAAGAGTCCACAGGAAAGGACCACTAAAAATCTCATTAGTGACTAAAATGGGATCTTCAGGAAGCAAACCTGGCAGGGCATCCATGGTGGGTTGCAAGAGTAAAGCCAGGAAGGGGTCCTGGCAAAAGGAATGATGAACCCAAAGTATCTCTGAAGAATCCCTTGGAAGAATGTTGAGTTAGTTTACACATTCTCCCACAGGTAATTAAGAATACAGATGCCCAAAGGGAGCAATAAGGGAAAGTCAAGAAGAGGTCTTGACACCTCACCTTGGGTGGGGAAATAAGGGGAGTCAAGAAGGAGTCTTGGCAACAGGGGATGGACAGATCGTGTTGGTGTGTTAGAACAGAACTGGTTGAAGGAGAATGTAGAAAGATGTGGTTAAAGCAAAGAGCAGCAGGACCAGGTGCGGAGGTGCGGGACCAGGACCATGGGCTGGGGGCCTGTGGAGCTGCTGGGACTCAGCGCTAGGCAGTGCCTGACCACACCAGCCTCGGGCAGGGGCAGCAGTGTCCACTGGCCCCATGAGGCTGCGGGACTCCCCAGCCACCTGTGCTGCTGCCAGCCGTGCCCGCTGGAGCACTGGAGTGGAGCGGAGCTATTTGGACAATGTGGCAGGATGGGGACTAGCTCTGGTATATGGTGCGTGAGCACAAAGAGGAAAGAATATCCAGGAAATACAGATTGTACATAGAAAGATTCAGATTTTCTTTTGAGGATTTTGTTTAGTTCACTGGAAAAAAACTAATGGTTTTGAGCTGTAGGAAAATGAGTACCCAGAGGCAGTAGCAGGGAGGGATTAGAGGAAGTCCAGAAGATAATAGAGATATATTGTCAGGGGTGTCTGAGGCTCCCATTATACCAGAGACCCACTATAGATGTACAAAGACATGCACTCATGGTGAAAGACTTCTCCAGGGTGAAGCTGTTCATGTATAAGCAGTTTATTATTTGGGTAGAGGGAGAAAGAGACCCGTTTCCACTGTCAGCCACAGCGTACACGTGGTCAGGGAGGGAGAGAGAGAATAGAGAGGGGAGTCAGGGAGCATGGGAGAAGAAGGTAATTAAGGGGGTAGAGAAAGAGGGGCTGGAGGGGGTAAGAGCAAAGAATAAGAGAAGTAAGAGCTGGTAAAAGTAAGGGGGGGTGGGGGATAAGTTAAGAGCTAAGAGCAAGAGAGGCATGGAAGTTAAGAGAGGGTAGGAGTAAGAGAGTGAAGTTCTTGTTACATTACATTACATCCTTTTCTACACTGAATATTCTAATTCCCAGTAACCAACCACTACATGACACATATTCTAAATTATTTACATATAGCCTATAAGAACTACTACATTACCATACAGTGTTACATTTTAAACTCTAAAAGCTACCTTTCAAATTCTTCTCTTGCTGCTTTTGACCTTTGTATTCACTGTCAGCATAAGGGTATTGTTCTCTCAACAGGGATTCTCCTTCAGCTGGCTAGGCTGTTGTTCTTTGGTTATATAGTAACTAGCACTCAGTATCCTATGGCTCAAAGCTAGCTTTCATTTCTATTTCGATTCTATGTTTCATATTTTCAGAATCTTTTGCTAAACAATCATATTCATAAGGTTTCCCTTTTTCATCCTCCCCAACAACCCACTACACTGGAGCCCTTGCTAACTTTTAAGGTGGATTCAGATCGAGAGGTGTGTTTCCTAGTAAACACAGGGGCCTCTCTATCCACCTTAAATTTTATGCCTAAGGGGGAAAAATTATCAAAAATATCTTTGATTGTTCAAGAAGTTGTGAAAATTGTATTTTCTTCTGCAGGATTAGAAGTCTGAATGCATCTTTCTCTTGAGGGAATTGTAGAAATTATGGAATTGTGGTAAATAAATTTAGGGATTTAATTCCTTTTTCTAAATGGGGTTTTGTGCAGAGCTGAAAGACTCCTGTTTTGGAGGAGAACACGCCCCTCTGCTTTTTGTGTGTTTTGTTGTAAAAAGCTAGAATTGGCAGGTTTCAGTCTTAACGCTAATTCTGCAATTCCTATCTTGTAGCGAACCCCCACCAGTCTGTGGGCTGTTGTAGAAAACTAGAATTGGCAGGCTCTAATCCTGAAGCCAATTCTGCAGCTGCTGCCTTGTGGGAATGGTGCTGTCCCCATGCAGGCCCAGGTATATATCATACAGCTTCCTCTGTGGGGGCTATATGAAAACTTTAGGGGAAAATATTTTATTATCCTTCCTTGGTTAATGTGTTAGTCACCTCTCTACCCCTAGGGTAGACTTGATGCAAAAAATTAGGACAAGGAGCAATTGGTTACTAAAAAAATGTGATTAGCTTTAGGCAATGGCATTGCTTGGTGCTAAACTAAATCATCTCCAAAAAGAAAATGACTAGATGAAAAAGAGGAAACTGATAAAGCAAACTGCTCCAAGGCAAAAATAACACATCTACATCACAAACTGCAATTCTTGCAAAACTTTTTAAAAGCAGTCTCACTCCCTCTGCTAAACAATCTATGAGAGGAAACCCCACTGAAAACCTGTGGGAAACAACTAAAGTGGTGCAACAAGCGCTTCACAGAATAAAAGCTAAAACCCCACCTGAATAAGTTAATGCAATTAACAACTTATTTCACTCAGGCATATTTTTCCAGAGAAGTTTGTTTCTTTTCTCTTCTCTAGGAATGTCAAACATCCCTGAACTGAAAACAACAAAAAAAAAAAGTTTAAAAGCAGAGAAACTGCAAGCAGCAAAAACACACCTGAATGTGATAACCATTTATTCTCATGGACTCTGTCACTTTGTGTTAGCCACAAGAAGTTTTTACTTTTTAAAAAATTGGTCTAGTAGGTCAAATATTCACTTTTCTTTTATAGGAACCTACCCACACATGAGATAGAACTGTGTGAAAACCAATACAATTTAAAGTGCCACATTTTGCCAGTTTGTTAATGTTTGTAATTTGTTTGTGTTTTCATTTCAAGTGACTTGGCAGGCAATCAAGTATTACTTAATGCATCCTACATATTCTTAAGTTTAGTTTTTGTCCAACTTTTGTCTTTTTACTGAAAAATGGTGTAGCTAAAGGTCTTATAAATGTATAACTTGTCTCAACCAATTTTATCCTGAGAGTTAATATAAGAATTTATACATATTTGAAATCATACAAATATGTACCAATCTTCCCAGTTCTGCCTTGGAAGGCTTTAAAATTATTATAATTTAGCTTTTTTTTTTTTTTTTTTTATTCACTAATTAGTGAATTAAAGAAACTTGCAAGTGAGGGAGTTCATGGGCTTCCCTTCCAGAGATGCCAGGTGGATTTTATTGAAATGCCCCAAGTGGCAAGATTTAAATACCTTCTGGTAATAGTATATCAGTTAACAGGGTAGCCAGAAGCATTTCCAGCCATTTCAGCAACTACAAGATCAGTTATTAAAGTATTTTTAGGACAAATAATTCCAAAATATGTGACTGTAGAAGCAATAGACTCAGATAAGGAAACTCATTTTACAGGAAAAATTATTCCAAGAATTATGTCTCCTTTAGGGATGTGATAGAACCTCCATACCCCCTGGCACTCCCAGAGTTTGAGCCGAGTTGAAAGGATGAATAGAGAATTAAAGAAACACCTTCTGAACCTGGTAACAGAAATTAAGATGCCATTAGGTATGGCTCTTGCCACTGGCTTTAGCAAGAATAAGGGCCAGACCCAGAAGAAGTATTCAATTATCTCTCTTTGAATTGCTATTTGGAATTCCTTACCCTAGTAATTCTCAGCCTAGTGGGGGGATAGAGATAAGTGATGTATATCTAAAACAATATGTAACCTGGATACTGTCTCTTGTGAAATCTCTTTGACAGGAAGCTCAGCTGACACAGACCTTACCTTTGGACTTTGCAGTGCATAATATCCAACCAGGAGACTGGCTCCTAGTTAAGGAGTGGAAAGAAGCACCACTGGTGGCTAAGTGGCGTGGACCTTTCCAGGTGTTGCTGACCACAGAAACAGCCGTCAAGAGAGCTGAACACGAGTGGACCCATCACACTCAGGTCAAGGTCTCTGAGGCCCCAGAGATTTAAACATCTCAACTAGAGAAGAAAGATGAGAGGCCGCAACTGACACTCCACAGGAGTTGAACAGAGCAGTAGCCGTGCGTCAACATCAGGGGAAGCCCTGAGTGCCTACCCACAGACTGCCTGCTGAAATAGTTTATGTGGGCATCCCTCCTCTTGGATCTGCAGTCATTGGGGTCAATCCATGCTGTCCTTGCTTTCTTTATGCTAAGCTGTTTCTGTGCCATCACTTGCCACAGGTAGTGCAGAAAACAATGTGAAAGTGAAAATTAGGTTTGGAGATAAAATTACACCATTAGAATGTTTCTCTTAATAATCTTACCTTTATATTGTCAGTTAGGTTGGGGCCAAAAGTAAGAAAATAATTTTTTAACCTTAAGAGAAGGAGTAGCAGAAACCTTTAACCTTAGCAATTGTTCAGTCTACAGAGAGCCAGGAAGATCTAAAACTAGACATGGGTGGCCAGCCCAGTCAAACCTAAATGGTAGGTTAGCACCCTAAGTGAGGTCCATAATAGAACAAAATTTCTGGGATGAACAAAGAAGTCCATGGTGGTTTCATTCTTCTGAAAAAGGCATTTATTGTCTGTCACTGTTGGACACAAAGTAGAAGGGTGGATTCAATCACAGTAGCCAGAATGAGATGCTAAGGAAAGCTTTATTATCCAAACTTTTCAGCTTTTTATAGGGTATTACAGTACCGGTTTAACATGATTGGTAAAGGAAACACCACCTCTATGTCCCACTGGTGGGACAAGAGAAAAATACACTAACCACAGCTGTACAGAACTCTTTTGAGAAAATGAGATTATTTACAATAATAGTCCTTGAGTGAGAGATGCTCTCATGAGACTTTCCCTTGGGAACAGATCAGCCAATGACAGGGTGGAACTCTCTCAGAAAAATCAGTTTCATAATTGTCTAAATAGAACAAGAAGCATGTATATGAGAAAAAGCGTTTGTGACTAGACTTCACCTTTGGGTTTAGATTGTTGGATCCCCAACTGCCCTCCTTATGATTGTTCCAAATATCAAGGCAGATAAAATCAAACACGTTAAGCTCACTAATGGTAGCTGAGTAAAATGTTCCTTCAATAATTACCAAATAGTTTTTAAAGGCTGTAAAGCAGTGGGGAAGGATAAGTTTTTTGACCCCTTATGAAGCTGCCCCTGAGAAAATTCCACAAACAGGACACATCCTGTCTGTGACTATCAATAGAAGTGACAACAGCAAATGGAAGTCAAACCCTCTTTAATAAATTCTAGTCCAGCTCTAACAAAACAATTGTGGGATGTAACTGCAGGTAGGAACCTCATATGGGAGCTTGGAAATGTAAATACTGTAATTCTTATGGTGGGGAAACTATTGTTGAGGGACCACTAGGTCCTGGAAGCAAGGTGGTTTTTGACCCACCAATTAAAGATAAAAATTAGGATAGTCCATTTGCCAACAGGACATGGACTTTAAAAGGGCATTACTAGATTTGTGGCCAATATGCTTACCACAAGTTACCCCCAAACTAGTCAGAGATATGTTATGTGAAGGACCATGGTTCCTTCTGCTACCACAAGTTCAAGAAAATCAGTTAAGAATCAAAGTATATGATGATTGAATTAGAAAAAAACAGTTAATTGATGCATCCCTGGCTAGAGGGAGCATCCAGAAGTAAGGTAAAAATAAATGGCCACCTAAACAAATCATACAACACTACAGACCAGCCACTTAGAATTCTACTGAATTAATATCAAGTGGCAGAATACTAATTTATACAACTTATTCAATGTGTGATCAGAGATGCGAGTAGTAGCCATACCTACTAATCCAAAGATGGCTACAAAATGACAGAAATTAATGTCACTGCAAATAATTGCAAAAGCAAAAAATGCCAAGAACAAGAAATTAAGTCAATAATAACTAAAGTTTGTAAAGGCAATTATTAAAAAAATAAAAGAAGGATTGAGAGAAATGACAGATTTGTCTTTACAAACAACCTGTGGGTCTGCTGGTATATAAAACTAGCTCTGAGAGATAAAAGAAACAATGGGAAAAATTCCACAGACTTATGAGTTAAAGAAACATGTTTGCCTTTACAAACGAACTATAAGTTTGCTGGTAAATATAATTAGATATTGGAAGATGACAGAAACAATGGAGAAAAAAAAAAATTCCATAAGAATTAAAAATCAAAAGGAAATGTTAGACATTTGAGGAAATGTTATACATTTGAGGATGATGTTAAGTATCAGACATTCTGGGAAGTCTGTACCTCTCAAGTACCTCAGCCTATGGGGAAAGAGAGAAGGGACAAGCGGCTGGGAATTAGGATAAATTTGAGAGACCCCAGGGGAATGCCCCATGGCCTCTCCCTTTATTGGAATGAAGAAAAAAGGACTCCTCTGTCTCCTTTTTGGACATAAACCTCTGGTGTTTGTGGATTAATTTTCCTGACACCCGTTTTGGTAGGTGAGTGCAGTAGACAGAAGGTGGCACAGGTTTAGTAGATGGCACTTGCCCACAGGGCCAGGGCAGGCAAACTGGGTGCTTTCCTGTGACTGGAATAGTTACTGCACTTTCCATCTCCATGAGTTGTTTTTAAGGCAGAGGAAGATAGTTTGGGGAAGTGCAATGAACCCAGCACCATGGGAGTGACTCCAGCATCTCAACATTTCCCTTGAGCTCCATGTCCATGACTTCCAGAGCTGTGGACCAGCTGGTCAAAGGCCCAGCCCTGCCTCCCATTTCAGGGGAAGACAGAGGAAGAGTTCATCAGGGCTCAATCTGAAATGAAGTTTTGGTGCTTACAGAAGCACAGCTTTGGTAGCAGAGGAGCATCTCTGCTCCTGCCACCCGCTGGCCCTTGGAATGCACACACAGCCCTAGTTTCATTTCCGGAGACACCAAGAAGCTTGACAGTCTGAAAGGGCAGCTGTTGTTTCACTGTTGCAGTTCTTGGCTTGTTAAACACCCTCCTAGCTGTATTACAGCCTGTGCTTGAAGATACAAAAGTACCATCCTGGAGGAAAGGCATCAAAAGCTTGACAAAGGCTGAAGGGAGTACCTTTGATTACCCCTTTTCCCAAGAGGTCTCTTTAGCTGAAGTTGCTAACAAGAACCAGACTTGACAGCCTAGAATGGGTTTATGGTTTTATTTTTTGGGTCCTCAGTCCTGCATGGGATTCAGTAAGTGGGTGCTGCAGAGGCTCCAACAAGGCATCAGAAACACCTGCCCCGCACCCAAGGGTGGCGCAAGATCTCCTCCAGCTCTGGCCTGTCCGCGGGGTGCTTGGACAAACACCAGCGGATCAGATGTTGGCACTCTGGGGAGAGAAGCCAGAAAGTGCTGGTCATTTTCAGAAGGCTCCTGCTCAGCTGCTCACAGCGCCCACGGGGCCCGGGCCGTGCTGCGTGTGCTCAGAGCTGCGCCAGCCTCCCAGCCGCCTCTGCCCTGTGTGGGAGAGTGGCACGGTGGGACACATCCAGCTCCTTCAGTTGCACGGGCCACCTCCTGCAGCCAGCTCTTGAGGGCAGATGGATGTCCTGTGGAGCTGTGTGAGGGCCATGCTGGGCTGCATGCTGCCATCTGCAAAAGTCTGCCTTCTTGAGGCCAGATACCAACCTGGAGAGACCTGGTGCCTGAAGAAGGGCTGCCCGAACACGATGTCACGGTCCTCCTGGAAGGGGTGGTTTCCACAGACCATGACATACAGCAGCACGCCCAGGGACCAGATGGTCGCTGAATGGCCATGGTAGCAGCCAAGGTGAATCCACTCGGGTGGGCTGTACGCGCGTGTTCCTAGGGGAGATGGGAGAAGGCGCTGTCCAGACACAGGCTGCTGGCTTTCAGCGCCTGGTGCCCGCCTCCTGGCAGAGGCAGGAGCTGCACCGGTGGACACAACTCCTCCCGAGGCCACCCCACATCCCCCAGCCAAGTGGCCAAAGCCAAGAAACCATTCTGCAAGGCAAAGAAGGCCAGCGGAGCAGCCCGAGACCTTGTGGGCCTGCTAAGCTGAGGGGCCAGGACCTGGCTTTTGCAGCTCCCCCCGTCGGCAGGGCCAGCAGCTATGGATGCTAAATCTGAACCACAGTGCCTGTACAAATTGCAGGCCGCATGGCTCCTCAGGCTGCCTGAGAAAGTATCCTGGGAAAAATATGAGAAGGAATTAAAACAATTCTCAGGGACACTAAACAGCCTTGCAGGTGTTGTTTTGCAGTCTCTTGTTTTCCCTTGCAGGAGGGAGTCAGAGGGGTTGTGTGCCACTGACCAATGATGGTGATGTAG